AAAAAAAAAAAAAAAAAAAAAGGAGGAGGGAACTTTCTAATTCATTCTATTATGACAGCCATACCCTGATACCAAAGCTAGATAAAGACATCACAAGAAAAGAAAATGATAGACTAGTATCTCATGAATGTAGATGCAGAAATCCTCAACAAAATCCTAGCAAATGAAATCCAGCAGTGTATTAAGAGGATTATACATCATATAGCTAATTATATTTTAGTTGCTAGCATCTCCCTACTTCTGTTTTTATTTTCTACTGCTGCTGTAAATCTCTTCAAAACTTGGGGTCCATATTTATATACCTGATACTCCTTCCCTAAGAATGGTCTTTCCATCCTTATTGAGTCTTATAGTAATATATGGCAGTGTATGTTTCTATTCCCCCTCCCTTTTTTTGTGCTTTGATGTTTTACAGTTATAAAATCTTAGTATTATTTTTGTCCTTTTGTTATACACCTCTTTTCCTAGCTTTTCATTTTGAAAATTTTGTATCTACAGAATAGTCTTTACTTGCACTCAAAAATTGTTAGCATATTGCCATGTTTTTCTTTCCCTCTCTTGTCTATACACACACTCATATACACATGCACACATACTTTTTAGAAGAAAATGGCAGATGTCATGATGTTTTAACCTTGTAAGAACAAGGATAGTCTTCTATATTACCTATATTACACCCAAGAAATTTATATAGTATCTATTATGTTCCAATTATCCCAATAGTATGTATATTTTTAAAGTTTATTTATTTTGAAAGAGAGAGAGAAAGAGAGCATGGGCAGGAGAGGGGCAGAGAAAGAGGGAGAGAGAGAATCCCAAGCAGGCTCTGTGCTGACATGGGGCCTGAACCCACAAACCGTGAGATCATGACCTGAGCAGAAACTTAACCGAGTCAGACTCTTAACCGACTGACCCACCGTCGTGACCCCCCCAATAATATGTTTTTGTAGCAGATTTTTTTTCTTCATCAAAGAAAAAGATCATGCATTGCATTTAATTATCAATTCTTGTTAGTTTCCTTGAATCTAAAATGGTTTCTCCAGCCCCTTTAAAAATTTTTGAAGAGTCTAGATCTTTTGTTCTGTAGAATAGTTCATGTTCTGGATTCGTGTGGTTATTTTCTTATTAGGTTTAAGGTAAACATTTTTGACAATGGCATTATATACATGATGTACCCTCCCGTTCCATCACATTAGGAGGCTCATAGTGACAGCTTGTCCCATTATTGGTGATGCCAACCAAGTTTGATCACTTGGTTATGGTGGTAGGTAGTCTATAGGATGATACGTTGGGATCCTGACAATTTACCCCTTTACCCCTTTACTTGATGTTCCTTGCCTGAATTGATGAATGCGTTATCTGTTACTATCATTATTCTTTTCAGAACTCAAATTTTCTCGAATTTGACCATCAAAACTCCTGAAGGTCCTCATGACCAGGCACCTCAGTGTTTGAATATCTCCTTGCTATTTATTACAATTCCAGGCTCACTTTGAACTTTTCCCCAACCCTGGATGTAGCTTTTTCTCCAAGCATCTCTGTTTACTTTTAGTGAGAAATAGTATATTTAAAAATGAGGTTTATTGATACCAGAGAATCATAACTTCTAGGCCTTTTCACTGGCCAGATTTTGAAAACCATTCATCCTCTATTGATTGATCGATTGATCATCCATCTCTCCATCCACCCAGAGTTCATACTAATATTTTAGTGTTATTTCAAAAAATAAATACTGTCATATTTCACACTTAAAAACTCTTTAGAAGAAAACTAGAATATCACTTTTTGTTAGGTCTTTAAAAATATTCAGTAGTAGAATAATTAGAGTAGCTTGTGATAAATAACAGCTTTACTTAGTGAATCATGTTGAATCAGGTTGGTTATTTAATGAGCTCTTATTTCTGTTGTTAATGTAGTTTTGGGGCAGTGCCGTGACAACATTGAGCCAAAAAAATTGCCTATCACTGAGGAGGAGCAGATTTACCCTTGGGATACATGTGCAGCAGTTCATGATGTGAGGCTTTCATTATTACAGCGTTATTTTAAAGATGTAAGTACCTTTTTTATCATATAGTGATAGTTTGTCTGCAAAATTGATGGTTACTTCTCTCCAGAGTTTTATATTTTTTCTTCTACTAGATATCATTCTAATTTGGAATCTGGAAGTTTATTAGAAAAAAAGTTAATATATGGATAGTAAGGAAATAGGAATCTGTAATAAATAAACTTTTTAGGTTATAAATGTCATACCTATGTTTTAAATGTTATTTATTATAAGATATATAAATTCAGTTCAATGGAATGATAAGTATTACCTCTATAAAAACTTTTAGTTATGGCATGAATATTTTATGAAGATTTTTGCCTCCTTTTACTTTCTTTTAAACATATACAATAAAATCTCATTATGATGCTTTTAAAATGTAAAGTAGGGATAGATTAATTCATGGCTTCTATGGTTTGTTGTTGTGAACTTGATAGGTTTTTTTCCAACTCTTTACATCTAGGGGCTCTATCTAGCACTCAGGTGTTATTGGTCTTGGAAGGTCAACTTAGTTTATTTAGCAGCACCAGCATTGTTAACTTCCTTATAAAATTTCTGTACCATTTTCAGTATTCTCTCAGTGGATTATTAAATGGGGTTTCCATTCACCTGTTGTTTTTTGGATTTACTGTATCTTGAATTAAGTAAATATATAATAATAACTTAAAATAGTTAAAATATGAAGTGAAACATTATTTTTAGTTAGCTATATGAGATGAATATCTTGATACATTTTCACATATGATTCCTTTTTGCCCATAACACACTGGATTAAATGGAAGAAACTAGTAGGAGATGTGGAAGACAGAAACTTAATGAGAATAAGCAGCAACTGACCTAGTAATGATGGGAGTCAGAGTAGGATGTGGTTCAGTAGTTTGGACTGAGGAGAAGGTTTCTAGTGGGTTCTGGAGAAAATGATGGCTCTAGTAACAGAGGCACTGTGTAGGGTAGAAAGAGTTACAGTTGAGAAAAACTGGGGCTTGGTCCTGATTCTGCCATTGCTTAGCCATGTAAGCTTGCCAAAAAAACAGACTAGGACTCCATTTTCTCATGTATCAAATAGGCCTCATATGAGCGTTCATACAGTAACCCACCAGGTTAGAAATTTCTTTAGATCACTGTACATGTTATAAAGGTCAGTATAAATGTAGAGTGGTGTTTTTAATATTCGGGCTAGCCCAGTGAGAGGGCTCAAGTTAGGCCTTATAAGGCAGTTTGGGTTAGGTAGTGAGGATCATGTTCCCATATATTTTCAGAGGCTTTACAATGAAATTATTCTTATTTGGAAAAAGAGGGGTGCCTGGGTGGCTCAGTAGGTTAAATGTCTGACTCTTGATTTCTGCTCAAGTTATGATCTCACGGTTGTGAGATTGAGCCCTGCCTCGGGCTCCATGCTGGGCATGGAATCTGTTTAAGATTTTCTCTCCGTCTTCCTCTGCCCTGTTTGCTCCCTCTCTCTTTAAAAATGTGTGTGTGTGTGTGTGTATGCATACATATGTACACACACATACATTTTCATGTTTTTTCTTTATTCTGTATTGTTTCTTTAAATTTTTGCAGCATATGTATGTTAATTTATTAATCATAGACCAATAAATATCTTCATTTTGAAGAAAACAATGAAACTGTGCCAAGTTCCTCTTTCGCAGAAATTTACTATCACCTTTATTTAGATTTTATTTTGTTGTCATAATCCTGAATTTTATCGTTTCGAATCACTTTAGAATAGATGAGTAAGGATGAATCCTAGAGCCAAGCAGAAAAGGAAAAAAACTTGATTCAATGGAAATATAACCCAGACTTAAGAATAAAATAATTTTGAGGGAAGGGGAGTTCTAATAAAGGACAGAAAAAGTAGCGTATCTCTTTCTTAAAGCAGCCAGAATAGTTATTCATTTCTAGAAAAAAAAAAAAATCTTTTTTGTAGGAACTTTGAACTGAAATCTGAACTGGACAGAATCTCTGTTGTGTTTCTGTTAATGATTATGGGATTTTATTCTTATATATATTTTTATACAACAGTTTTTTACTTTCATAATGGTTATTTTCTGTATATCTGGTGTGCTCCCTGGACTATATACGTCTAGAGGTGTAGGGCCATTCTTATATTGATTATACGGTCTCCTCAGGGGCTAGCACATGCTGTGTGGTTGTAGATGCTTAGTGGATTTCTTACTGAATTACTCTAGCATAGAGTACCTGAGTTTTGTATACAGGCAGACAGATAGACTGTATGCAGCAGAAGAGTTTCTATTAATGAGCACTGATTCTGATTACAGAATTAAACTATGTAGATTGTTCTCTTCATATCAGTTGCATGCATTTTACAGAGTCAACCTGTAGAGTTTTAGTTGTGTAAGGCAGTAGTGCCGTTGAAACGGGGAGTATTATATTATGAGAGAGAGGACAGAGTAGGGCGGGAGCCCGAGCTTTGGAGTCAGATAGACTCGGGTTTGAACTTGGACTCTGCCATATATAACTGAGTGGTCTTGGTAAACTTTTCATTACTTTTTTGGTAATGTTTTAATAAATATTGAGGCTATGAAGATTCAGTGGTAAGCAATTCTTAGCACAGTGGTGTGGGCACATTGTTGAAGTCTTCCTAAAATATTAGTCTCATGTTAGTAAATATTTTCCTGCCTTTTTGTTTTGACTCTGATTCAAACAAGAAATCTAACAGTTACTTAGACAAATGGCATACTGATTTTAGTTTTAAAAGCTGATTTATTAAAATGAAAGGGGCACCTGGGTGGCTCAGTTGGTTAAGCGTCTGGCTCTTGATTTCAGCTCAGGTCATGATCTTACGATTCGTAGGATTAAGCCCTGTGTCGGGCTCTGTGCTGACAGTGCAGAGCCTGCTTAGGATTCTCTTTCTCTGTCTCTGTCTCTCCCCTGCTGTGCTTGGGTGCTCTCTCTTGCTCTCTCTCTCAAAATAAAATAAATAAATATAACATTAAAAAAAGAAGTAAGATAAATTACATTTTTATAATACATTGCCAAAGAGAGCAGCTTATTAACTGACTAAAATGATTCTAAACCTGTTCTAGATGATCTAACCATTCTAAAATGATCTAAATCTGTTTCTACTTCAAGCGCTCCAAAACATAAAACAAAGATGAGCAGGTCTCCTATTGCTATTCTGATTTGTAACAATAGAAGCTAGCTCACCTGCTGTGAGTATTTGATTTGTGCTGCTACACATCTTTAAATAGGCTGGAAAGGCATTTTGCACCGTGTAATATTTTCAACTTTCAGATGTTCATGAAGAACATTAGAATTCTTTTAGAACATTAGAACATTCATTTAACATTAGAATTTTGTTTACTATTGTTTAAAGATTATTTGGTCATCTTACATTATATTGTAAAAATTTCTTTCCAAAGTAAAAATAAAGTTTAAAGCTATACTCAGTTTTAGTGGCTCTCAAATCTTTCATCATGTGCTATCACCCATGTTAGACCTTTTTCCTAATTTTGCTCTGGCCTGGTCATCTGTTTACTGCAGACTCTAGAGGGTGAACTGACTCAAGTTCAGACCCAAATAGTGTTTGATAGAGGCCAAATGAAAATTCGAAGAGGATTATTTTAGGAGGAAAAGTCTAAGCCTGTGTATAGGTTGAGGGGAAGGAATTAGTAGAGAAGGAGAGAAGGAAGAGTTGAAGATATAAGAAAAAGGAGATTAAAAAAGTTAACTTGTAGAACAGATTTCAAAAGGGTATTGTAGTTGCTTATATAATCTGGGTCCCTTCTTTATTGTATATTCTATTAAACCCATGTAAATGTTAAGGTACTTTTTGGGGTTATGACCAAATTTGTAGTCCAGAAAGATGTATGGAGGGTGATGCATTATGGAGAGAAGAAATTGGCATCAAGGTGACCAGTTAAAAAACTTTGTTGAAAAACCTCCTCCCCCACAACAAATGATGCAGACATGAATGTTATAGTGGAAATGAAGAGGAGGGGCCCAAATCATGTTTTATTTAGGAGATGGAATCTGCATAGTTTGGGAGCTAATACTGTGGTGTAAAAGAAAGAATGTGATGTAGAATAACTCTTAGCATTATGATTTGGTGACTGAAAAGATTGTGGAGTTTTTAAACCAAGAGGAAAAGAAAGATTCATGGGGGAAAAAAGACAAATTTATGACACATTTAAAACAAATGTTTATTTATTTATTATGAGAGAGAGAGTGTGTGTGTGGGTAGGGGAGGGGCAGAGAGAGGAGGAGAGAGAGAATCCCAAGCAGACTCTGTGCTATCAGCATGGAGCCCAGCACAGGGCTCAGTCCCATGAACTGTGAGATCATGACCTGAGCTGAAATCAAGGGTCTGACACTTAACCAACTGAGCCACCCAGGCACCCAGTGACATATTTCTTAATGTTATCTGAGGGACATCAAACTAGAGATTTCTGCTTGGGAGTTGAGTGGTTGTATCTGTCACTAAGACAAGTGATCCAAGTTTGGAGAGTAGTCAAATTTACTGATTAAATCACTCAGAGAACAGCTCTAGTAAGAAGAGAGTGGTACAAAGAACCTTGAGGAATATAAACATTGAAGGGACAAGAAAGAAAAAAGTTGTTATTCCATTGCATCTATCTATCTATCTATCTATCTATCTATCTATCTATCTATCTATCCATCCATCCATCCATCCATCTGTCTATCTATCTATACCACAACTTCTATATAAATAATACTACTATGAACATAGGCATGCATGTATCCTTTTAATTAGGAATTTTGTATTTTGGGGGTAAATACCCAGTAATACAATTACTGGATCACAAGGTAGTTCGATTTTTGAGGAATCTCCATACTGTTTTCCACAGCTGCTGTACCAATTTGCATTCCCACCAACAGTGGATTAGGGTTCCTTTTTCTCCACATCCTTACCAACACCTGTTGTTTCTTGTGTTTTTGATTTTAGCCATTCTGACAAGTGTGAGATGGTATCTCATTGTAGTTTTGATTTGCATTTCCCTGATGATGAGTGATGTTGAGCATCTTTTCATGTGTCTGTTGGTCATCTGGATATCTTCTTTGGAGAAGTGTTTGTTCATGTCTTCTGCCCATTTTTAAATTGGATTATTTATTTTTGGGGTGTTGAGCTTGATAAGTTCTTTATATATTTCAGATACTAACCCTTTCAGCCATAAAAAAGAATGAAATCTTACCATTTACAATGACATGGATGGAGCTAGAGAGTATAATGCTAGCAAAATAAGTCAGTCAGAGAAAGACAAATATCATATGATTTCACTTATATGTGGAATTTAAGAAACAAAACAAATAAGCAAGGGAAGAAAAGAGAGAGACAACAAAATAAATGGACTCTTAACTGTAAAGAACAAACTGATGTTACCAGAGGGGAGGTGGGTGGGGAGGGAGGGGTAAAATAGGATTAAGGAATGCACTTGTCATGATGAGCACTGGATGATGTATGGACGTATTGAATCACTGTATTGTACACCTGAAACTAATAGAACACTGTGTGTTACCTACACTGGAATTACAGTAAAAGAAAGAAGTTGTTAATGTCAGATATCACAGAGCAGGTAAAATAATCGATAGCAGAATAATTTATAGTGAACTATAATATAATATCAAGAGTTTATATTTCATGGGGTAGAGAAAGTGTAATTTATAGTTGCTCTCTTTCATTATGAGCCTAGATATTTGGAAGGTAGAACTTTATGGTATTTCAAGTTTAAAGATACTGCCTTGGTGCTGTCAAGTTGGGTGTTACTTTATATCATAAAAATATGAAGTTCACATTAGTATAACGGTATGAAATCATTCAGAGGTTTATGTGGATATGTTTAGGTATGTTTATGCTTCTTAAAAATTAATGTATTGTCTCCTTTTTTTTTTTTTTTAAGAGTTCTTGTCTATTGGCAGTATCAATTGGCTGGGAAGGAGGTGTTTATGTACAGACCTGTGGCCACACGTTACATATAGATTGTCATAAATCTTACATGGAATCATTACGGGTAAGTTGATTTAAAGGTATATGTATCTTTCCAGGTATTAAATATTTTTATAGCATATATATCCTAGTTCATCTTGGGTGATTTGATTGCCATTTGAACTATTCAGCCTTGTAGTTCCCTGACCCCTTCAGCCTTAGGAATTTCTTTTTTTTTTTTTTACTTCACTTAGCAACTGATTTCCATGGTAGTAATTCTAGACTTTGCTACACTAGCTCTGAAATACTATGCTTTAATATCCTACTATATCATTTTGTTATATGATCACTCTTCAGATTTTCTTATTTCATTTTCATTAGCGTGTTTTGCTTCTGACATCAAGATCTCTAGTCCTTTAACCCCTTTATATTTTCCCTAGCGTTAGTTCTTCCTAGCCTCACTTTTTTGAACAGTGCCTATTCTGCTCTGAATATCATTCATTTAATCCTCCTCCCTTGGTTTTAGACCCAGGCAGCTAGCCCTCCAGAAAAACCATGAAACTAAGTTAAGTGGTATGTCTGTAAATTTGTGGTTTCCTATATAATAGTGGCTTAAACTAGGGTCACAGATTGTAGATATTATTTATCGATTCATTTACCTGTCTTTGATCGGTTTCCTCTCTTAGTGTCCCCAGCAGCTATTCCAAACCTTTGCCTCCTCTATCCCAGGCTCTTTGCCTAAACTCCAAGATTCCTTTCCTCTCATCAGATTCTGTCTCTGTCTTTGTTACCGAGAAAACAGTGGCTTTCTGTCACACGCTACCTTAGCTTCCTACTTTGCTGATCTATTCCCTGATAAATGAGTCTGCATCCCAACCAATCCTTTTCTTCTCTACTCTTTGAGATAGTATTCCTTCTTCTGTTCAGGAATAATTTTTCTGTTTATGCTCTAATATTCCTTTCTCCCATTACCTTAGGAGCTTTGATCTATTAGTAAGTAACCTCTTTTTATTCCGTATCTTAAGTTTTTCTGCCCATTCTATTGTTTCTTTTCAGATATAAAGATGCTCAGGTCCCTGCCATTCAGAATTCCTTCGTTTGACTTTGCATTCCCCTGTAGCTGTAGTTTTTCTCTTTTTCTTAGCTCAACTTCTTAGAAGTGTGGTCTTCTCTATTCCCTGATTCCTAGCTCAGAAGCAGTGGATTCCTGTTTTTCCTTTCTTATCCTTCCCTATCACATTCATTTAGCAAATTCTATTAATTCTGTTTCTTAAGTCTCACTTGACTGTACTCTACTTTCATTATTGTTGCTTCTGCCTTTTTGTGTATGCCTTCATTTCTCATCTTGACTATTGCAATTGCTTTCTTATCAGTGTCCTTACTCCAAGTCTGATTTATTCATTACATTGATCTTTCTAATTTGTAAATCCGATGACATATGTCATTGGCTTAAAAATCCTTTACTGAATTCTTCCTAATGGGATAAAGTCCACTCTTCTCTGAATGGCATTCAAGGCACTTCATGATCTGGGCTTGCCTGTTGTTGCTTCAGCTTTATCTTTCATCAATTCAGCATTAATAAGCTAATTAATGGTTCCTTTAGCACATTATCCATTTTTCATATATCTCCATTCAGTCGTTCATTCAACAAATATTTATTCAGTGCTTACAGTGTTCCAGATACTTTGATAGACATTGGGGATTCATCAGTGAATAAGACACAGTTCCTTCCCTTTAGGAGTTTACTATGGATTGCATGAGATGGTGTATGTGCTGAGTGTTATGAGGTATACACAGGGCCTTTTTGGAACATCTGCCAGTGCCAGAGCATTTGATGAATTAAGGTGCTTGAGTGATGAGAGATAAGGGAAGATTAGGGGTCATACTGTAGAGGACCTGGTAGTTCATGTAAGGAACTTGGACTTTGTTTAGATAGGTTCTTTACAGAGAGCCATTAAAGCCATTTAAGACTTTTAAGCAGAGATATGTTCAGAAAGATCATTGTGGTAATTGTGTAGATGGTAGGGGATTATGGTGGGATTGCAGGAGAGTAAGAAAGAATACAATGAGGTACGAAATGATGGTGGCTTGGGGTTAGTCATGGCACTGGAGATGGAGAAGAGCTTAGAGATTTGAAATATATTTAGAAGAAAGGTCTTCTGGATGTGGTGAGAGATAGCATGTGGAGTGTCAGAGGGAGGAAGGAATCAGGTGATCATTGAAAGATTTTGATTGGGAATAAGAGTCACATTAGGTGGATCACGTTGGCAACAGTATGGTTGGAAGACTAGTTAGGAAATATTAGCAAAGAGAGTAGAAGGAAGTAGATGGAAGGACTTGTGAGATTTATTAATTAGATATTAAGATGGGAGAAGGTAGGAAGCAGAAGGAGCTGTCATGACTCTCTTTTCTGAGATAGGAAGTATAGCTTTATGCTTCTAGAGTAAAGGGGGCAAGGCTCAGGTGGGTGAAGGGACTTGACAAGTGAGGAGGTGGTTTGGAAGAAACACTTTGGAATTGGGTGAGAGAGTGCTTCATAGGATGTTGGAGAGAGATTGTCAGGAAGTATTCAGGGCTCAGTTGGTGTGGAAACAGTTTGTAGCAAGAAGCTATTTCAGTATTCCATAACAACCCTTAATTCAAGTGTAGAATTGGAGAAGCCATACATTGGGTTAATTTTGTATGAAGGTTTTGTGGAGTGTGCATGATAGAAGGACAAATGGACAGGGAATGAGAAGTATTGACCGAAGAGTTTTTGAAGTGGTAGATCGTGTATAGGCAGGAGAGGAAAAGCTTGATAAAGTGGGGAGAAAAGGAGGAACTAAGACAGCTAGGAGTTGGCAGTCAGAATGTAAGCTGTTTGGATTTAATATTTTCAGATACGGACACTTTGGGGTCATTTCAGTATAAGGGGATAGTCATGGTAGCAGGTGCTGGAGTAGAGTGGAGGTCAAAGCTATAAGAAATAATGAGGTCAGAGAGCTGATAGACTGAGATGTAAGATTGGTTGTCTCCGTTACACACTGAAGTTGCACAGGAGGATGACGGGACTTGGAGCGATGAGGAAAACTGATTTAGGTACCAAACTCTTGAGTGATGGAGGACAGTGGATGACAGTAAAAAGGAAGGAAAAGGGTGATGTCACCAAATGACATTAGCTGCAAGCATGGGAGAATGCAAGAGTAAAGATCTCAAGCCAGCGCTGGAGATGAGAAGGATACTAGGTGGGAGGGATGTGGGAGAATGAGCAGTGCCTACTTGAGAATGCTTCTGGAGAGGCTTTAGGAAAGAACACATTTTCAATCAAGGCAAAAAGGGGGATCTAGCATTCTTTAAAATTAAATTATAGAGGAGCTTATCATAGAACGTTCTTCAGTGATATCAGGACCCTTTCCCCAACCGTCTAGTATGCTCTACTCTTCTTGTATATCTTAAAATTTTTTTTTTTTAACGTTTATTTATTTTTGAGACAGAGAGAGACAGAGCATGAACGGGGGAGGGTCACAGAGAGAGGGAGACACAGAATCGGAAGCAAGCTCCAGGCTCTGAGCTGTCAGCACAGAGCCCGACGCGGGGCTCGAACTCACGGACCGCGAGATCGTGACCTGAGCCGAAGTCGGACGCTTAACCGACTGAGCCACCCAGGCGCCCCTCTTCTTGTATATCTTTAAAACTTAGCTCACAGGTCTCCTCTGAGAAGTCTTCTCTGTTGTATTTTTCACACTATTGTTATAATTTATTCGTTTCTATTTGCTTTTATATTGTTAGGACCTTAAGTGAAGATGTACCTTAAGTCTTTATGCTATCACCTGGCACAGCATTTGACACATGTTAGGAGCTTAACAAATATTTGTAGAATTGGATTTAGGAAGACATGGTGTTATATTTTTAAGAACTTAAAAGAAGTGTCAAAAAGTGAAAAAAGTAGAATTTTGTTCTTTTAGTCAAAGTATTTGAGATCCAAGATAAAGCAATTAAGAGTGGGGAACTTAGGGGCACCTGGGTGGCTCAGTTGGTTAAGTGTCCAGCTCTTGATCTCAGCTCAGGTCATGATCTCGTGGTTTGTGGGTTCAAGCCCCGCAAAGAGGTCTGTGCTGATGATGTGGAGCCTGCTAGGGATTCTGTCTCTCCTTCTCTCTGCCCCTCCCCACTTGTGTGTGCTCTTTCTCTCTCAAAATAAGTAAACATAAAAAAAATTAAAAACAAAAAAGAGTGGGGAAATTTAAATTCATCCTGACATTGTCATTACCTTTGTAACCATAGACAGATTCATTTTCTTCTCTTTGTATCCTTTTTTGCTCATTATTTTTGTCTTGTTTGTGATAATGGTCATATTGTAGCATTTGTACATTTACATTAACACATTAAAACATATTTTGAGATAGAACATTAGGTTAGTGGCAGAATAAGAAAGAGACTGCTGAGAAAAAGAGTAATATAGTGGTTAGGACTAAATAGCAGTGGCCTAAAGAGCAAAATAGATGTGTGGTGGTGTCATGCAAAAGAAAGGAACAAATGTAACCGTCTGGATTCCTGCCTTAAGTTTTCTGGTTAGTTAGCATGTATAGCAGTCTCTTGTGAACAAGAATTTTCCTAGGCATATACACTTATGTGTCTCTTTAAAAAATTCTCTTTCCTCCTCTTTCTATCAGAAACATCTGAAGAAAAGGGTGATAAATTAATTCCCCTCCTCTTACACTTATGTTCTGAATACTATAACTGAATCTTTCCCCATCCATTAATCCTAAACAAATCCACTGCATGAAGTCCAGTCAGTTGTGTTTGGCAGTTAAAGACACATCACGTTTTTAAGGCTTAATTCTCAAAAGTTGTCAATTCTTCATCAAGAGAGAAAGAGGACGTGCACGCACAAGCAGGGGAGGAGCAGAGAGGGAGGGACAGAGGATCCGGGGTGGGACCCATGCTGACAACAGAGAGCTTGATGCGGGGCTCAAACCTGCCAAATGTGAGATCGTGGCCTGAACTGAAGTTGGATGCTTAACTGAGTGAGCCACCTGGGTACCCCTAGGGATGTCTTTTTTTTTTTTTTTTTTTTTTTTTTTTTTTGTATGGTTCATTTCTTTACCATAAAATGTAATGATGTAAATTTTGTTTTCTGTAGAGGTGTGCATTATAAATCTGTATGTTTATTTCATCTTTTAGAATGACCAGGTTCTTCAGGGCTTCTCAGTGGACAAAGGAGAATTCACGTGTCCTCTCTGCAGGCAATTTGCTAACAGTGTTCTTCCTTGTTATCCTGGAAGTAATGTGGAAAGTAACCTTTGGCAACGTCCTAGTAACAGAAGCATTCAAGACCTCATAAAGGAAGTGGAGGAGCTGCAGGGACGGCCGGGAGCTTTCCCAGTAAGCATCAGTGTAAGGCAGAAATACCCTGGTAACCTCAGCTATGCTTTCAGCTCTCATTTTCCTTCCTTTCATTTTCATTCCCTTTCTGAATTGCTCTGGACCTTTAAACATTTAATAGAAATTGCTTTTAGATGTTTTTCTCTTCTGTTTGTGGTTGCTACAAACAAAAATGAGAATAATGGAACAAATTCTTACCAAAGACTATACTTTTTCCTTCATCTAAATTGTTATAGTTTTAATATACATGTTCCAGATCATGAAATTCTATAAGCTTAGATATGGTTAGACTCTTTTAAGATGTTGAAATCTTAAACCAAACAAACAAATAAATTACATATATATGTATCTTGTAATGTGAAGCATAGTCTAACCACTTTAAAATATGTCTGTTAGGTATATTAGGATTAAGATGATATGTGTACACATACACACTTTTTATGTGTATAGTTATAGATTTGCATACATTGTGTGTGTGTTAGATAAAATATCATACACTTGATTGAACCATTCACAAGTCAGTCTGTTTTACTGTGGGATTTGGTGTAAGTGAACCCATCTTTTATCCCATTCAGTAGGATTTTTAAATTTTATTTCTTAAATTATTATTATTTTTTTTTTTTTAATTTTTTTTTTTCAACGTTTATTTATTTTTGGGATAGAGAGAGACAGAGCATGAACGGGGGAGGGGCAGAGAGAGAGGGAGACACACAATTGGAAACAGGCTCCAGGCTCTGAGCCATCAGCCCAGAGCCTGACGCGGGGCTCGAACTCACGGACCGTGAGATCGTGACCTGGCTGAAGTCGGACGCTTAACCGACTGCGCCACCCAGGCGCCCCTTAAATTATTTTTTTAAACATTTATTTATTATTGAGAGACAGAGACAGAGCGTGAGCAGGAGAGGGGCAGAGAGAGAGGGAGACACAGAATCTGAAGCAGGTTCCAGGCTCTGAGCTGTCAGGACAGAGCCGGACACAGGGCTCGAACTCACAAACGGTGAGATCATGACCTGAGCCGAAGCCGGATGCTCAACTGACTGAGCCACCCAGGCGCTCCAGGATTTTTTAATTTGATTTAAATACTTAAATATTTCCCCTTTAATACAGGTTTATGATGTGGTCCCTGAAAGAAGTCATAGCTGTGCCTAGTTTAAGCAGTAAATGTATGAAAACTATTAATATTTGACTTTTGGGACAGAAATTTATAGTTAAAAGCTACTCTGAAAGATTCATCTCTTCGCAGTTTCTTTTCTCAGTTGAAGACTATAATTTTAGAGTCTGTAGTTTTCTTCTTTTGTAAATCCAAATTTTTATGTGTTTAAAATATGCTTAAAGCAAGGGACATCAATATTAGTGTTTGAGAAATGATCTGAAATGAAAATCAGGTTGTTTATAAACATGAAAACTGTTCCAAAATATTATTTTAATGACATCTACTCATTTGTTTAGCATATAGGTTTGTGTGGTTAGTTCATGGTTAGATTATAGGTTAACCAATCACAATATAGAATTAGGATAAGATAAGAGAAAATATTTCTTAATCTATTTTATCTTTGTACAGTAAATATATTTATGGTAGAAAGTTAATGTACATTTGTTTTAACTTTTTAACTTAATTTCCTAGTGTATTCATATGATAAACCTTGTAGTGTAGACTATATTAGAGAAAGTGAATATGAATAAACTTTATATATGTTTCCTTTTTTTGCAGTCAGAAACCAACTTAAGTAAAGAAATGGAATCTGTTATGAAAGATATCAAAAATACCACTCAGAAAAAATATAGAGACTATAGCAAGACGCCAGGCTCACCAGACAATGATTTTCTCTTTATGTATTCTGTTGCTAGGTAGGTATACATGTTATGTACTTCAATATTTACCTATTATTGGTAGTTGGTTTTTTTGTTTGTTTACTGCCATTCATATTTATTTGAAGAAAGGATACGTATTTTTTATGTTGGTTAAAATTATGGCTAGTTTTAGAAATTCCTCAAAGGATCATAAAAATGCAGGTTTCCTTCGTTTTCTGAAGAGTTTTTATTTTAATGAAATATTGGGTGAAATGTTCTTATATATTATAGGACATGTGGGAAAAAGTATATTGTTAACATTTTGGGACAGTCTACCTCAAAGCATGTGAGTATTATATATGAAGGGTGTTGTTAAGAAATCACTGTTCAAGTCCTATCAAGAAGTGATAATACTGTAAACAAAAACATGGTAATATATTAAACACTTTTAATTTGTTTTTAATTCATAAGTAAGAAGAACTTATTTTCTTTGTTTTCAGCTAGTAAAAGATCTAGTAATATCCTAGAAGACTGTAGGTGGTTTAGAAAATCAGATAAAGGAGCCAAAGCAAGAGATCAGGCATGCTCTAAGCCTCTATTAGTAGCTAGCAGGGGGCTCAAGAAAATAGAGGTAAATACTTCTCATCTTTCAAATTAGGTAGGATTAGTCTAATTGGCTGAGTAGGTGTTCAGTACCTAAGAAATAATTCCAAATAGGAATTTTAGAAAACTTAATTGAATGAAAATGGAGAACCATAAAAGAAGTAAATAGAAACGAAGCAGGCACAGTTAGGAACTTGTAAACACATTCTGCCAGAACTGATGTTGTAGACCCCTGGATATCCTTAGAAGCATACTTTGTATTTCATCCCAAGTAGTGTTATATTAGGTAACATTTAGAGAGATAACGTAACTTGAATGTCATGCAGCAAAATTAGTGGCATGTAGGACTAGAATTCAGATCTGAGTCAAGGTCTATCGTTCTTTCAATTACTGTCCTCCTTTTTCCTCCCCTGTGTTCACATTTTATAGGTCATATATGCATGTGGTTCATCAGGGCCATTCTGTCTGCCCTGTTCCTGGAGCAGAGGGTAGTATGGGTAAATGAACAATATGTAGTCTTTAGAACCTAGGAAAAAAGGAACCAGACTTAAGGAAATTGCAAGCAGGTTAGAGCTCAAGATAAGGAGACATTAGTCTTTCATTTAAGAATGCAGATGCTGGACATAAATTGATGTAAAAGGATCTAATGGCTTGGGAAGTAATTTTCTAGTCTGCACATTCCTAGACTATTGTTGTCATTTATCGAGAATACTTCGGGAGAACATATAACAGTTAATTCAACATTTTGTGTTTGGACAGTTACCAACTGCATACTTGCAATAAAATACGATTTATGTGAAAACTAAATTGAATATGATTTAATTTTGCTAAGGTTTCAAGGTTTTAAAAACCTTACATACAATATTGTAGTAGTAATGGTGTAGAAGACTGAGATGAATATAGACCCACCCAGTTATGCTATGTGTATGTGTGTGTGTATATATGTGTGTATGTATATATATATGTTATGTATGTGTGTGTATGTATATATACATTTGTGTGTAAATACTATGTTTATGTTGCTTATTTATGCCTTTCATTTTCTTAGGATTGACCTTGTAAGAAAATTCTGGTTGAATAGGAATGATCTGTCCGTGGAATTTTTCTACAGTATGATAAATCAAATAACTTGATTTAAATTTAGTTTAGTGGAAATTTTAGATTCTTATTTCTTGAATATATAAATTCCTATTTTCTTAAATATAAAATAACTTATAAAGCTTGTCATTTTAATAGGAGACTTTATAGGATACCCAGCATATTTTGGGTTTTCTTTTAAGGGAAACCCAATTTGGTTAAAATTGTCCAGGCCATTGTAAAGTTCTCACAGTGAGATTACATGCCTTTTCTAAGTTTTGCTTAGTCATTAAAAAGAAAACAAACAGAAACCAAATTAATTAAAAAAATTAACAAAAACACAAATTGAAGGAAAAAAGTATATTGTAAGTTTTGTCTTAATGTAATTTTTTCAAAGTATGAAACCAGGTCTTTATAAATAACTTATGCCTAGCATATAACCTTATTTCATAAATACATATGATTAAAGATTATGATTATTTTCATGCCTAAAAGGTAGGCATTAAAATGTTTAGCAATATTTAACATGTTTAAATGTTTAAGTATTTAGAAATAAACTTATTTGAATTACTTAACTTTTAAATTAAATATTGTGATTCTTAAATGTATAATTCATTAGAATGTGCACATTTATTTGTATTTGATGTTAGTAATTTAAATGGACTGCAACCCTGTTTCCCAGAGCTGAATTTCTTCCCACTGAATGAGTAATTTAGTTTGCTCTTTAGGGAACTTAAATTTTTTGATGTTTAGGAACAAAATACATCCAGTGGTAAAGTAGCCTATAAAACTGTGGATTTTAATTGTTTTAGAGATTTTTTTTTTTTGTAAGGCAATACATTATTTCTTTGTTTTTCATTTTATTTGCATGGTAAAGCAGCCTTGGAGGATTTTTTTGAGGGCAGTAGAGAAGAAATTGTTGGAATAATATCCTTCTGTTACATTAAAATTAATCAGAATTACTATATTCAAGTTTTATTGTATTTCCAAAAAAGGGTCTGTTGCAAATGTCAGTCATTCAGATGGATTATGGAAAGTTAATTTGGGGAAGAAAGCTTTCTTCACTTAAATACCAATTCATTATTTCTTTATTGAAACAATAAATGACACTAATTTTAGTAATAGATTTTTCCAAGGATTTTGGACTCAAGTTACACATAGCCTAGAAGTATTGGTGAGTAGTATTTAGCTTGTATATATATAGCAAGAAACATGGAAATGGAAAGATGAAACATGAGTAGCTGAGATGTAGATGGAGAGACATCTTTAAGTCACAGTGGGCAAACTGCTCCATAGAGTGAGTGCACCTTGCTTTACACATTAGTTGCATGATTTTAAACTTTATCAACGAATTATGTTCAAAATAAAACGAATGCTTGCTAAAATACCATATTATCCATTTTAAAACCAAAATTTATTTGATAATAACCACCCCCCCCCCTTTTTTTTCTGTTTCACTGGTGGATTTAAGGAAATAGAAGGAAGGGTCAGCAAAAGAAAGAGAATAAACTACAGGGATAAGAGACTCTTATCGTTGGTTATATACCAAAACAAAGAGGTTGCCAGTTCCTAAGGTGTTTTTGAGCATTTTGCTGTGTACCATCAGGGATGTAGAAGCTTTATCTGAAATGATCCCTGCTCTCCAGGAATTTACAATGTGGTTGGAGAGACAGAATGAATATATATCAGTCTGTATAAAACAATACAGTTTGTTTAAAAAATATCATATTGAAAAAGTGCTGTAGAACTTGAGAAGGGAAGATGAACAAATTGAAATATAAAGTATATGGAAATGCTTCTTTCCTGTCCCAAGAAAAAGGAATTAGTTCTCCCTGACTCCTGAAGGAGGTAGAGCTTGAGCTGAGTCTTGTATAATATAAGCTATGGTATGGATGAAGGTATTTTTTTCTCTGAGAAATTGAGTCACTTGTTCAACCAGTAAGGGGTAGGCTCAGGCCTTGAACCCACACTATACCAGTGTGTGTTTGAGTGTCTCTGTGTGTGCATGTGTACAAATGTGCATGTGTGTGCACATTTGTTTTTCAAATGCTTTATTGCTTTAAAAATTGAAATTAGTGCCAAAGGAGGGTGGAGGAGGATGGAAGTTTGGAAAGCAGACCTTGGTCATGCAAAAAGAAGCTGGAGCATAGTTGGAGTTTTTATGTGGTATATGTAGGTAGACACCAAGGTAGGCTTGAAGCAATCTTTCTCATTATTGTTTCAGATACAGAGATATTTTAATTCATTTTTTTCTTTCCAAACTAATGGATGTGTGTTAGAAATATAGAAAGTAGAATCTGCTTTTCTCTGAGAACAATCTTTATGTCATCCATTCAGGAGGGCAGAAATAGAATATCGTGTTGGGATTTTCAACAGTGAGGGAAAATCAAACATGGGGCACATGACATGTTTGTATGTTCTTTTCTCTAGCAAGTGTTAAATTAAAGGACCAGTTTTGATGTAAATGAAATAAGGAAAAGCTGAGGGTTAGGGTCTCTTACATATTGATTTTTAAAGTCCTAGATTATTACATGATACTAATGTTTTGGGTAGGTGAAGCTTTGTGTGTGTGTGTGTGTGTGTGTGTGGCTTTTTTTTTTTTTTTTTTTTTTTAATGTCAGAGGAACAGAATCAGGAGATTTTCCAACCATAATCCGAAATGATTAATTACATTTAGTAGTTTTCTTTCAAGTAGTCTTTAAAATCAACTTCCTGGTAACATGTTTGTCATCCTTTAAAGTATTTTATTTGATGATTGAATTCTGTTCTTTTACTTATATTTTAATGAATATTTTTGCAAACTGTGCTGAAATAAAAGTTGACATTCTGGTTCTGACATTCGTTTGTAAGAATTGATCATGTTTCTGGTTAGCTCTTTTAAAAGTACAATCTAGGAAATCTTAGTTTTTATAAGAGAATATAGCCATTAATTTTTTTCTACAGATTAGGCAACAGAAGATTTGTGAAAACAAAATATATTGATCTCATTTATATTCCCTTGATGAAGGAACACATGCTGGTCTCCGCTCGCTTTCTGTCCACTAATATGAAATCCTTGTCCCTGCTTCCTTGCTGGTAGGTTTTTAGAAGTTCAGTGAGCAATGCAAATCGCCTGAAGGGTGGAAAATTCCCTTGTCACACAGATGCCCTTATCAGCAGCAACCAGATGGAGCTCTGAGCAGGAACATTATCAATGTTAAATTGCTTTTCCCCCACCCCAGTAGAGAGGATTAAAGCATTCCTTTAGAAATGGGTGGCAAATGTACAGACTTAGGAATATGAATTTAACAGTTTGCATTTATATGTACATATATGAAAATAATGTTTCACAACATTCTGTCTTTAAAATACAACCCAAACCAGTTCAAACTGTTTTGTTTTAAGTAAAATAGGATAATATTCTTCCTTGAATTCATTTACAGAGTAAGCTTGAAATTTTACCTTTTTTTTTTTTTTTTTTTTTTGAGATGGGGATATCTCACTATTAGTGTCAAATGCATATCTTGGATATAAATTTATTCAATTTTAGTTGTGACAAATAAAGGTGTGTTTAAGTTTATTAATACTGTTGAAGTAAAAATACACACATTTTATCACTCAGATTTTCATTTATTATTCTGGCAAAATTCACTGGCTATTTTATTTTCTTGTTTTTGAGTAAACAATTTGATTTTTGAAATGTCACGTTTAACTATTATTCTGTAAGCTAATAATTGCTAAATATATAATAATTGCAGATCTATATGAACATTATCAATGTTTAGCAGTGTCAGTAGTTATACAATGCACTTTATAAAACTGTGATTTTAGAAGTCCATAGAAGAGACTGTTGTTAATTATATGTGTTGTTCATAGCTGATGTTAGTGATTTTAATATTGAATTCTAGATACTATCTAAGCTCCAGTGAGTGATAACCGTTTCTCCGATAGAAAAGTTGGTATGCCCTTGTGTTTTATATGACAGTAACCACCTATTCAGTGGCTGACAGTTGGGTACAAACTCCTTCATCACATTCATGTGCAGGTTTATGAAATGTGTTGCTGTTGTTTTCCTTAAGGCCTAGTTTTTAGTACTTGCCAACATTTGGGATTTTGCCGCAATTACATCGTGATGTGTGCAGTTTTGCAGATTATAAATATGAACATATAAATATAGATAAACTCACCCTTTCTTTCTTTCTTTCTTTCTCTCTCTCTCTCTCTCTCTCTCTCTCTCTCTCTTTCTTTCTTTCTTTCAATTTTCATTTGCTACTCAGATCTATCTTGTTGTGGCATTCAGGTAGCCAGGGTCCAGAACTACAGATCCCTTTTTATTTATAAATATCAGATAAAATATTATTATGGATATTACATAAACTATTCTTTGGCAAATAATAAAGTTGAAGAACTTCATTATTTAGGTTGATTCAGACATATCATTAAAACAAATTAGAAAGTATTGCTTCAGCCTAATTGAGTTCTATTTTAATGCTTTCCTTACAGAACCAATTTGGAACTTGAATTAATTCATCGGGGAGGCAATTTGTGTTCAGGTGGTGCAAGCACAGCTGGCAAAAGGTCTTGTTTAAGTAAGTAGTAAACAGTGCTAAATTTAAAAACATTTTTATTTTAAAAACATTTTTAATTATGTCATTTCTGAAAAGCCTCTGCAGGCAAAGTGGTCTTTTGATGTATTTTCACATTCTTTTTATGTTGCATATAATCAGTTTTAATGGTGATTATATGCTTTAAATGGTTTATCTTGTACTTTAAAGAATCATATGAATATTTATCTCTTCCTATACTATGAATACTTAGTAAATAAATGCCATACCAATAGATCAGATTTACAGGGGCTCAAAAATAAAACAGTGTCTCAGCTGTAAAAAATTGTCTTCAAACAAATTCTTTTAAAGAAGTTTTACATTGTCTGGATTTAAGAAAATTTTTTTACAAGTTAATTTGTGTTGCCTACAGATTTCTGTCATACACAGTGCTGCTGTTAATGAAGGCATTTGCACTCTATTTTGATGTGGACATTACACTATATAAAATTGTGGATGCTTGCTTTTATTTATGAATATACTTTATGTTATGAAATGAGCATGATTTTTCATTACTTTTTGTAAGGGTAAATTTGAGAGAAGTGTCATTTCATACTTAAAGTACATTTTTCATGAGTATGGTTTTGATGCTATCACTATTTAGTCAGAGAATTAATGTGAATAATAGGAGTAATGTTACTGAATGTCATGTACAGCCAATTATTCTTTCCCAATCACTGGAGTTAAAATGTTACCTAATGTCATCAGCACAGGAAATAAAAATTGTTTAAAATATATAATGTATTCTTTGAAAAATGAATGTGTTTTCTTAAATGCTAAAAAATATTAGTAGTTTATTAAAAATTATCAACACATAGGTTTCAAAAATATATGCATGCTATTGTAAAAAATATACATATATGTGATTTTGGTATGATTTCAAAGGACTGATCAAAAACATCTTGAAAATTTTAACATAAAGGTACAAATTTATGTGAAATTTCAACTGAGTTACTTTTAAAATTCTTACTAGTTGTATTAGATTTTGGTGTTTTGGGTTATCACTTGATTCCTAGAATGTAAGATTTTGGAAGTTATTTGTTACTAAATAGTATTTATTGACTTTTGTATGTATTTAAACCCTACTGTACCAGGTGATTTAGTATTATGTTTTAAAGGAGAAGTTGTTGATACATAAGAGTTTTAGTTTCTGGACTGTTTGAATTAGCAAAAACTATAAGTTCACTTATTCAGATTATTTTTTCTTATTAATTTATTCTTAAATGATGTTTGGCATCAATAGTGTTCCAGAAACTGTCATATTAGAAAGTATTTAGTAAAGGAATTTCAGTTTTATGTTCAAAAGCTCTACTTCATTTTTTCCCCTCTGAGGTACTTAAATTTATCCAGAGACTTGTAAATAATGAATTTATTCAGAATCTTAAAACTAGTAGTAAAATTCTAGCAGCATCCACTTCAGTTATCATCCTTAATTTTAGTTTAAATTATTAAATTGATAGTTACCTCCACTTTCTTTTTATTTTCCCCTTTAATGAATAAGAGATTATAATGTGCCAATAAAGAAAAGGTCATGAACATCCTAAATAAAAAATCAATACTATTTTTGGTTTTTCTTTTTCTTCTTCTGATTTATGTTAGTCCTTCATTCCCCCAGCTTTCTTGAAGTATGATTGACAAATTATATTGTATACAATTGTATATACTAAGGTTGTACAACATGATGGTTTTTATTTTTACTTGCCATATGATTTATTATTGTTCAGTTGCTTATGCATTATTTATCCTAATGTAGAATATATTTTATGTTGTATAAAATCCCACTGTTTTGCAAATGTTATTTACACAAGCTTAACTCAAACTCAAACTTAAGATGATGGTGTGTCTTAGGACCTTAGATCAAATATTTCATTTTTTCATTTTCCAGTAGAATGTTAATAGTATTATTAAACAAAAATTCCGTCTTTTCTCTAGAGACTCCTTTTAAGTCAGTATTTTCTTATTTCCATTTATTATTCTCTGTTAACTTTTTAAATATCACATTTTTAAAGTGTCTTTCTGATCCCGTAATATTTTGGGGAAAGAGTAACAAAATGCTTCACTAATTAAGCAAATGGTATGGAACTTACACTTTGGAATGGTGTTCCATTACAACTTCCTGATAAAATTGAAGATTAGTCAAGAAAAGAGTTAATATATTTCATCTGGAATAGCTTGTAAAATGCCTGATAGATAATTATGAACGGACACACACACACACACACACACACACACACACACACACACAGGAGTTGAGGGGGGAAAAGATTGTTCTTTCCATAACAACAAAAGTATAAAATATTACTGGCTAAATTTATGTCGAGAAATAAAATTGTAGTGGAACAATGCCATTCAACGCTTACATATTCAACATTTTTAAGCATTGAGGTAAAATGGCCAGTACCCAATCATAATAAAAGTTCATTCCTACATATGTATCTGGGAAATTTTCCGAAGTAAAAAATGAGCAAAATTAATTAACAAAGCAGAGTACTATGGTGTTTTAATAATACCTCACATTCGTAGTTTTAAAGTTTATGAAGTACTTTCACATAATTATTTAGTCTTTAGAATGACCATGTGAAATAGGTGTTATCTTTTTTCATAGAAAAGGAAACTGAAGTTCAAAGTGATTGCCTTGCCAAGTCATACAACTGGAAAATATCAGAGCTTGCACTTGAACCCACCTCTTCTGACTCTAAATTCAGTTATGTAAGACATATCCCTTGCCCTTAATTGTACCAAAAGGTACAGAACCTTTAAGAACTTTTACTCATGGGCTTAGTTAAGGACATCTTACTGAATACTGTTGCCTTGGAATCTTTCCAGGCTCTACCTGCTAACACTCGTATTATTTTGTCTCCTGTTTTCCTTTGTTAACCTTTCACTGTGATTCCTGTTTTTGTTTGGGGCTGCTGCTTCAGATATTTGCTCAAGTCCTGATTCCTTCTTCTTTGAATACCAGCTGGTTTTCTTTTTATTTTTCACCAGTTTGCTGGCTGGTTCCTTCTTACTCCTGGTATCTGCATCAGCTCCCACATACAGCTCTGCTCCTGATTTCTGGATCAGAGTTCTGGACCTCCTGTTTATCAAGTGGAAGGTCAGGCATTGAGGACCTTGTATTCAGCAGATAAGACTGTCTAGATAATTAATTATAAGATAGAAAGTGTTCAATTCTATTTTTTTATTTTAATTTTTATTTTTAAAAAATTTTTTTAACGTCTATTTATTTTTGAGACAGAGAGAGACAGAGCATGAATGGGAGAGTGTCAGAGAGAAAGAGGGAGACACAGAATCTGAAACAGGCTCCAGGCTCTGAGCTGTCAGCACGGAGCCCGACACAGGGCTCGAACTCACGGACCGCGAGATCATGACCTGAGCCGAAGTCGGATGCTTAACCGACTGAGCCACCCAGGCGCCCCAGAAAGTGTTCAGTTCTAAAGAGGGACATGGATAAAGTTCTAGGAAATTTGGAGGTTTGGGATCATATCTAGATGATAAATCAGTGAAGCTTTTGGTAGACGTGGCATTTGAACAAGACTGTAAAAGATGAGTGAATTTAGGATTTTTGTTGCAAATTGGTATATATGCTGATAAGTGCCACCAGTTTCATTAGCAGCAGATGTAGGACAAAGCAGATGCAAAAATTGAAGGCATAACTTTTAATTAAGAATAATGTTTTATTAAAATTGGTTAATTTCTTCATTCAAGTGATTCAAAAGTACATACAGAGCTCAGAGTCCAGTGAGGTTCACAGGATTTCAACACTTTTTTGCCATGATAATCTTAGTGTATTTCTTAGGTAGAAATTGTTGAAACTACTGGCTGGGCTAGGAGTAAAGGGAGGAGGTGTCAGTTGGTAAATTATTAATATTTGGGATAGTTTTTAAAAATATTTATCTTTAGGTAAACAACATCTTTCCATATCTTTGGGTCTGAGACTTTATATTACTGTCATTTAAGAAGCCACAGTTTATATTAAAAATTAAACTGTAGTTAGGTGAAATTATGGCAAACCCTTGCTTTGACATTTTCACTGGGGAGTCTAACTTAATTTTGATATATGATCTCATCAAGAAATGATGCATATGGTGAATAACTGCCCCTGTGTTTGTTATTCATAGAAAGCAATCCAGCTTAAATGTGTGCAGGCAACTTGAAATAATTCTAATTGCTCAAAGAATGAATTAGGAAGAATGATTTAATGTTAATTTCATCTTACAGTAAAACTACACAAAGATATTGTTGGTTAAGATTACAAAATTCCTCCTAAGTAGTCTGACCTCATTCTTTAACAGTGGTAAAATTCTGATATCTATAGCTTATTAAGGTCTATTCTTAGACTTAAAAATTATGAATTCTACAAATAGATTGAATCACAACTCTTGTTCTATTCTTTCTGTTATTCCATAACAAGAGGAAAATTTGGCTACCAAATCATAACAGTCAAAATGTACAAATTAATATAGAAATGTGAAAATTGCCTCCTGATTCTATTCTTTATGAATAAAATAGGCAGATGATTTGGGAACAAGCTGTTTTACCTCATGAATCCTTTTTGTTCATAGTACCCAACCAGAAGATTGTTGTAAGAACTCAATATATAAGTCCTTTAATTTTTTTAAAGGACTTAACAGATGTTCTGTTGACCTGGAGATGAGAAGATCAGAATAGGATTTATTCCCAAAGGTTGATATAGTTTATCTGTTGGGAACAAAATACATTGTTGGTCTGGGGAGACCTGGATTAGAGGGATAAGAGTGGGGCTTGAGAATCAGAGCTAAGAGGAGTGGCTTTATTCTTTAGGTCTTTCTGAAGGTTCTGTGCTTTGTGGCAGTGTAGTCAGGCCACATTGGTGCCTCTCCCCATATTGTTCCAAGCAATGATGTAAATGTGAAGGGGGAAGCTGCTAGTCATCTAAACCTTAAAAGTAGAAGGAAAACAGTTTGATGAAATTAATACTAATGTTGTGATACTTGAGGTGACCG